AGGGAAAAAATGAGCTGATACCAAGGGCTCAAGTAGAAAGCAAATGTTTTGAGAATGATGATGGCAACAAATGTACAAATGTGCTTGACACAATGGATGTGTCAGGCAGAAGCGGGAGTTAGCAGGGCAGGTGGGCTAGGAGACAGAGTTGATGAAAACACTCCAAGGACGACCCCCATCCCCCCTCCTCCTCCTCCCCTAACCATTACAGACAACTTTGAACATTGTTGCTTGGCTCAGGAACTGCAGACAACAAAGTTACAGTAGAAAATTCCCCAGCTACTCCCTCCCTGCAGTCCCGGGCTATAAAACCCCACCTCTCACCTGGACAGTGTGACTTCGAGGGGCCCCAACTGGAGGCCCGTGAACCTCACCCAGGAGCTCAGGATAGTCCCGTCCCTTTCTCTGCTCTCCCTTCCCTCCCTCTGCTCTCCCTTCCCTCCCGGAGCTCTGAAACAAACCTTTGAAACTGCTTTCTACCTTTGCTTTTTTTCTTTCCATTGCCAAATCAACCTCACAGGATGGATGTATGGATTGTGATAAGAGTTGTACGAGCCCCTAATAAAATGATTTTTTTTAAAAAAGAAAGAAAAAAGGCCATGCCAGTCCATTTCAGCTCATGTCTAGGCAAATTATCTGTACGCATTCCATTTTTTAAAATTTCCAATTTTCCTAGGTTCATACATTCCATGTTCCAATTACTAATGTTTCTTCTTATTTTGAGTCGTGTCCCATCAGCAGGTGGAGTTTCTGAAAGCTTTGCTCCATTCGTATCATTAAGGTCCACTCTCCTTTGAGAAAGCAGCCTTCCATAGGAGGGGAATCATCTTTTGATACCATATTAGGGAATGTTTCACAACTATTCATAAGGTTTTAAGTGACTACTCCCTCAGAAATGGACAGCCTATTCCTTCTACCTAGTCAGTTCTTAGACTGGAAGCTCTGCTGAAACCTCTTTACCATGAGCGACCCTCCTGGTGTTTGAAATACCAGTGGCCTGGCTTCCAGCATCGCAGCAACACATAAGCCACCACAATACGACAAACCGATGCGTGGTGGTTCTTGTTGTTAGGTGCTATCGGGTCGGTTCTGACCTCTATCGATCCGTTGTACAACAGAGAGAACCACTGCGCGGTCCTGCCCCATCCTCCCAATGGTTTGAGCCCGTTGTTGCAGCCACTGTGAAAATCCATCTTGCCAAGGGCCTTCCTCTTTTTGGCTGCTCCTCTACTTTACCAAACATGATGCCCTCCAGGGACATCTCTCCTGACATATCTGCGTTACTGAAGCTCCCAAGGATACTTCGCTGGAGCTGTCCGTCAAAACTGCCACAGTGCTCATTCTCTGTGCATCAACCCTACCACTCTTTGATGTACAATACACAGTAGGCCATTTTAGCAGGGCCTCCCTTAAA